TTTCCACTGGGTTGCAGCATCACAGGGCCATTGGTCTGGCTCTGGTAAATAAGGAAGTTGTGAAATTGTTCCTGCAAGTCTTTTATCACAGTACTGAAGTAGAGGGGAAACTGTACTCTGGAAATCAATAGCTTTCAAGAAGACTGAAGGGTTGTGCTGGATGACTTTAGTGAAAATAAGCATTCAGTGTTATATGATGGCTGTGTGGTCCTGGGATTTATAAACAGGAGCGTGCTAGTATAGAGGATGGTTATTACTACTGTAAAGAAGCATCAGTTATCATCTCCAGCTAAGGCAACTAACAGGTTGCTGAAAAACTGGTCAGAGTCAGAAATGAGGCTTAAAAGTAACCCCAAGCCTGCACCATTCCCTGCAGAGAGCGTTCAATGCCGTAGACAGAAACCTTGAGGGAAGCTTTGTGATTCTAGATATGAAGTTACCACAACTTTCCACCGTTATAATCAGTGAGAACAAATTTCCATTAAATAAGTTTTTGAACTTTAACACAGAATAAAATACTAGATGTGAAAGAGCCTTACTGAGTTTTGAAGTGGGTGTTAATTTGCCTATTCCATAACTGGCTGGTACTTACAGATTAAGCTGATGCAGTTCTCAACACAGAGCCAAGAAACTGCCTTTGTTGTGACTGTACACCATTAGGAGAGAATCATTTAATATATATCCATCATGTTTTCATATTATAATTAATTTTAGAAAGTGGAAAAGATACCATGTAACACTACACTTTCTAACTGCTCATGAGCTGTGCTGTGTGGTGTATACAGGAAAACCAGAAGATGGATTTGCTGATAAAAAACATCTGCCTTCATGTCTCCTTATATTTAAATAGGCTATTTACATGTCCATTCTTCATATGAACAAACATATGTGTATGTTGAGTATACTTATGGAGAAGGACCAAACTGGTGAGTCATTAGGTCCTGGTTTTGTTGGTTTTCATGTTTATATGCTTTTTATTTTTTAAAATTGTTTTCCTCAGTTTGTGGTTGAATTGTCAGTTGGCTTTAACACACACAGCGGTAAAATTAAGAGTAGTTAGGGGCTGGCTTATCAGATCTGAGCATAAGTGGAAAACAACAGTGTTCTAAGCATTTGACACAGAGCTGAGCAAGGGCAATAAATCAACATTAAACTGGCAAAGACTGTTAGCTGCCTGTTAAATGTTGGCTGTCCTGTAGAAACCATAAAGGAAAGGTGAGAATGTTTGATTGGGTTATGAGTGTGTGTGGAACCAGCCCGGGTACAGCAGAAATGCTGGGCTATCTGTCATCCTCTGGTGCAGAAAGAAGGTCACAGATGGATTTGCAAGATAGGGTTTGTGAGAGGCAGCACACGCTTCTCAGCCACAGGGGCATCACGAAGCCACGTGCTGGGACATGCAGTGTCCTTGCTCAAAGCAGCCCTGCTGTGCAGAGCGGGGGGCAAAGCATCTCTTTGCTTCGATGCACTGTGCACAGGGCTGGGAGATAAGGAGGGCCATGGTCCTCCTCGTGCCATGCAGGAGTAAATGGATTTGCAGTGAGGCTGTGGCTTGAACTGAGCCCTAGCACTGCTAGTGGGAAATACCTCGGCAACTCGTCAGCTTTTGCTGTAGTTAAGGTCTGTGGTGCTGCTGTGTATTTCTGTTATTTCATGTTTGTAGCTACTTATTTTTGTATTTTAGTATTTTTCATAGCACTAAATCACATGTTCAGACTTCCACAGACCCTCTAACTTTAAGAGTTACCACAGCCAAGACCCTGTACATTAAAGTTTGTGTTTCTGGTTGTGAGCCTGCGAAGGAAGTAGCCTGATTTTCCATGCTTGCTACGCAACTCTATTTGTGGTGTGAAAGTATCTCTTGTGTTTTATTAAAGTCCTTTCAGAAAATGTAAAGTTGAAATGTAGGGAAATCTAAGTAATTGGTAAAGACTATTTGTAAACCACATTGAAGGTTTTTTGCTATTTCTCCTGGAAGTACTGTCTAATTATATTACATGTGCTTTACAAAGAAATTTAAACTTAATAAAATGGAAATAGCAAATCTATTGAATTACAGCAGATAAATATTTAGAGCATTTCCTAACAGCAGAATTTTAGAATAAACAACACTATAGCCCCACTAAAATAAACTAATATTAGTTTAAACATGTGCTTCACTTACGTATTGCATGGGCTACTGTTGCTAAGGGTGCTGTGTAAAACAGACCAGTAAGGATAAACCTTTCACTGCTAACTCTCAGTGATAATAAAGGAAGAATGGTTTCTGAACTCTCATTTCTGAACTGTGCCTCTGGTCAGAGGCTTTTAATACCCCTCAGCTGAGCTTTGTTTGTCATTATGTAGCTAGTAGGTTTGAAAAGTATATCGAGAAGTTTTTAGTACCTCTTTTTCTATATTTTTAAAATATTACTTAAAGCTTACAAAGAAATGTCAGAAATGTCTTTCTAATGGAAGAGTAGTTAACTCAGTCCCTCAGTTTGTGAGTGAACCTGTTGGGAAAGGTGATCTTAAAAGGTACCTCATCAGTTTCCTTTCTCAGGATCAGAGAAAAAAAAGTACACTCCCTTTCCCATATGTTGTCTCAGAGAAATATTTTCCTACTAAAACAGAACATTTTCTTTCACAGTAAAAGAAAATTTAAAAATTCTTCAGCCTGAACTTGGCAGAAAATTTCACTTTTTAAAGGTGCCACCACATGTTGCTTGCCAAAGTGATTGCTCTTAGGGGAGCCTGCTGCTGCCAGGTACTGCCAAATATGTTTTGGTGTTAGAAATTATAAAGAAGAAATTATTGACACAGCTCTTGGGGTTCTCACATGGCTTATGATTCATTTCCTGAAATATATGTGACTGCATTTGGACTGGTTTTGCCCAGGCTGTGTGTGCCATGCCAGCATGTGAAGCTATTTTAAGAGGTTTTTCTACTCACTGGCCTACTCAAGAAGCTGGAAAATTGTTTGTTCATGTCATATATTTTAAATATGATAGCATAAGATTGCCAGCGTAAGAGAATCCTAGCATAAGGTTAGTTCAGTTAAAATTAGGAGGGCCTTCAAAAATAAATTACAGTAGTCCTGCTTGTACAGAGTTTTGGACAGATTACCATTTAGTCATCATTAATAGTCATGTGCTTGGTTTTTTTCCAGACTTTGGCAAGCCCTGCAGAGATCAGAGAATAAAAATACCTTTCCAGTTTTCTGCATTCCTCATCAGTCCCCATATAATTGCAACACCACTCAGAATTTAAGAAAATCATTCTAAAATAAGAAAATTAGGTTTGCATTTGATGAATCAGGAACTTAATTGAATTGCTGTCTTCTGTATCTTTTATGTTTTTACAATAGGAAGAAAAGGTCACTTTAATTAAAGATGCTTTAGTTTTATTCAGACATTTGATTAAATAAATGAATCAGGATGCAGAAGAGGAATCTGTATTCCAACCTTTAGCTATGGCTTTTTTTCCTGCACTGTTGCTATGGAGAGGCATATAAATATTTGTATCACAAACTAATTTTATTTCACTTCTAGATGGCATGGAAATACAGATAAAAATAGTAAAGAAGAGTTGTTGTAGGTGTTTTATCATGCAGAGTAATGTTTTGGAATGGGTTCAGGCACAGACTAGCAGCAAAAGCAGGTAGAAGGTGCTGTGTTTATGCATCCAACATCTTTCTATCCCATGTTGTGCAGTAGAAATGGAACGAAAGTGTCCATTTGCAGTTTCCTCTTTTCCAATTTTTTTATAGTGCTAGTTGGTATTTGTCTTTCTAATAGCTCGTATGTTCTGGGCCGTTTGTATAAAGGTGTAAAAGAAAGAACTTCAGCTCAGTAGCACGTGTCCATCCTCCACTGAGGGGATGGTACAGAAACTGCACAGCTGCTTAGGAGCTGGAAGGTGCATAAATTGTTTCTTCATATGATCACTCACATCTTTTCGTGTCGGGCCTTTTTCTTTCCTCGCCTGCCGAATTGCCTCGAAGGAGGCAGTGATGCTGGACACCAGCCTACAGCCTCCCGAATTCCAGCAGTGCTGGGCATCTCCTTGTCTCTGCTCCTCACCATGTCCTTTGGGCTGGTCTCCATCTCTTCTCCCTCCTGTAACTGTTGTCTCTCAGTCTTTTTCTTTGGGGACTTCAGTCATTGTAACTATTTCTTAGTATATCAGGGTGGTTCCAGCCTTCCAGATGTTGCAAGACCCTTGGATGACAACCCCAGGTGGTGTGAGATAGACGCCTTTGGCACAGTTTAAACTCTGCTCTTGTTGCCTCTGCAAGTTCTGTGTTATGAAACATCCTCTCTAACAAGAAGCTTCACAGAGCAGCTCTGGTTTCTCTTTCTCAGCAGATATTTTCAACACCTGGGATTGTTATCCTGGTTTCACATAGAGAACTTTCTGGTGACATCCTAAGATAATGAAAACAAAACTAGTTAATAACAGGATTGGAAACAACACATATTGCCCTAGCAGTCTACTACCTCCCTCTTATATCACAGGCTGTTTTTGTTCAATCCTACAACAACAACATAAAACCCACAACAAAACAAAGGAACAACAAAAAATGAAATACTGAATAACAGTTAACAGCTTGGTGCAATGGGAGATGGGGGCAGCGTAATGTCAGTTGTTCCTTGACCTTTTAAAATCCCTTAAAAGCTTAAATATTTAAGACCAGATGAGTTTTGTGTAAGGCATTATTCATCAGAAAAAGAATTAATTAACATACAAATTGCATCGTCATTTTCTGAGTCTTTTGGTGGGAAAAGCAACGCCTCTGTTAAAACTGTGTCTTTTGTAAAAGTCATGCATAACAGGCTTGTGTTTTTTCGTTTTTAAGTACCAAAGCTCAAGCTCTTTTCTTTGGTGTAGTTTTATTATTCACAGTAGGATTTGGAAGTTCCCTGCTTTCAGATTTTGCTGGTTTGTGTAACTCATCTTGCTGCCACTGTACTCAGCGTATCTTCTCGTTTCTATCTCCTCGTTTCTCTCTTCTCTCGCAGCAAATGAAGCTGGCGGCTGAGTCACTGAAGGAGTAAACACGGAGGAATGAGGATGACTAAAGGAGTCACATGTGAGGGGCACTGCTCGAGCGTGTGTTTGTGGTGGTGTGTGGCTCTCAGTGCACGCTCCACCATCTACTGAGTAGGTGGCACCTGCTTATGTGAAACTTGGTAAATAATCTGACACTGTAAAAAATTATATTTTCTCCCGCTCTCTTTGTTTCTCACATGTAATTGTTTGCAAAGTCAACACCAAATAAAGCACTCCAGCTTATGCCAGGTCTGGTTGAAATCTGCCAGACTCACTGTGCTTTGAGTGATTGAAAACAGATCCTGTGAGGAAGCATCCAGAAGCTAACTAGAGTTTTCAGCTGCAGCTTTCTAAAGGAAAAAAAAGGTAGAGTATTATTTAATTCACAGTGTATTGTCCCTTTGGGGTTATTGCCCCTTTTGTCCCTTTATTGCAATAGCTGATCAATCCTGTATTACTCCAAAGACTTGCTTATTAGCCACTGTTTGCCCATAGCAAATTAATTTAAATATTTTATACATCACATAGGGAACAACCATGTACTAAGATCTGAGAAATATTGAACATAAATATCATAGAGTATGCATTATATACTCCTGTGTGCTGGCTCTCTAAATAAGCCTCAGTTAAAATCTTTTCAAAAGCTAGGTAAAAAGCATTCAGTAATAGTCAGGTTGCTGATCAGTGATTTAAGTGTATTTATTTTTTAATTTACATTGGATTTTGGTATCACTTCCCTGGATCTTGAACTGCAGTATTGTGTGAATGGACCTTCTGATTAAGTGAACCGACGGTAACAGATCAATTAAACTTCATAGTTGATATACCAGTCCTTGAGTCTGTGGTGATATCTGATTTATTTTCATTGCATTTCACAGAAAGGTAGTTTTCCTAATGTTTCATTGTTTTCTGACAGTAAGAGGACCCAAAACCTACAGTGTTTGCTCCTGTGACCTTGGGACAGTTTACTTTCGGCTGCTGTGACCTTCCTTTTTGGTAGATGTAACTTACCTGTACGTGAGACTTGCTGCAGTTTTGTTTGGAAAAATCTGCTGTTGCCATAATTAAGGTATTTGCCTACTTTGCACATTCTAGATTTCTGCCACAGGGCCCCCCCAGCAGAGTAATATAACTAAGCCAAAATAATGTATTTTGTGTGGAATTTAAAATTAGCGTTTCTCAAGCTCTGCAGGCGTGACCCAGTAAGAAACGACTGTGTTCCCTTGGGAAGAGGAGCAAACCCGTGCTACAGCTGCTGCCTCTGTTCTTGCTTCTCCCACTGTTAGTCCCCCACGCTTCTGCTATTTCAAGGGTATCTCCTGGGCTGCTGCTGTTTCACAGCCTGTTCTGAAGCCATGGCAGGGTTGAGGCTGAACAAGCTCGGCCCTGAAGAACTCCAGGGGGAGTGTGTCACCCTTCCTATAGTGCTGTAGAGGTCCCAGAACCAAAGGTTTTTTAGGAGGAGACCAGCATGTTCTCCATGAAAGCTCCTCAGCTTTGCAGTCTCTTGCCCTGAAGACTGCAGCTTTGATCTGAAGTTGCTCACATTTGCTCAAGTTTTAACTGCCTAGTCGGTGTGAATGAGCAGTTCAGGAAAAGGAAAAATCCACCAGTTTGTGGTGGAGTACGTTCTTGTGAGCTTGTCATAGCCTTTTTGAAGGGATTCTGCTGGTCTGTTAATTGGTGCTGGTTTAGGAGCACAAAGTTGGTGTGTTTTGCTGATGGCAACTGTGTCAGGTGTCTGGAGTAATTTCTAAGATGGATTGAAAAGAGAATCGTGTCGTGTCTCAACTGCAATCACATGAAAAAGAAGAAATCAACTTCTGCAAAATTGACTTAGTCTACAGAAAACAGAAGAAATGGACCCTACAGGGAAAACCACTAACAGGAAAATCTCTACTGAGGTTTAAGTACCCAATGACATCCGTAATGTTAGCTGTTGGCCCTTGCCTTGGGCAAATCCCTTCACTTCTGCTTAGTTTCCTTATCTGTCAATGGAGATAATACTGTTCTTTAGGTGGATTCTCCATCTAAAGCTAGTAGGTATGGAGGAATTATGACCATCCACTGTGTGAGAACTATGACACTCTGTTTTACAGGGATTAAAGTTTGTTCCAGATATTGGTAAAACTCTTGTTTTAGCATCACAAATGCTACACAGTCATGACAGAGAGTGGTTCAGTCCTAAAGAGCACACACTTTAGCTTGCTTAGAAATGTTCCCTCATATTACCAAGTAATATTTTGTCACTGAACTGAAATTTAGCTCCTTATTTCTTTGTATGAAGCTCTTTGCCCGTTTACTGGGGAAGGGTTGCTGTGTTTCATGCTGTTTCATACTGGGGTTTGGGTTGTCTTTGGGGTTGTTTTTTTTTTTACATTCATGATGGCATCTATTTTCATTTCTCCCTTGAGAGAAAAAAGATTTCTGTCTGTGCCTTTGAATGTGTTGTTTCCTTTCTGCTGTAGGTGCATCTGTAAAAACTGTGGAATGCCAGGGATGAACCTTATTGACCAAAACCAGTTGTCAGATGAAAATATTAGAAAGAATAAGATATTTACCAGTAACCACCATTCAAAAAGTATGGAATCTGAATGTCTGTTCCCAAGGTCCATGGCATGGTCCCTCACACCTCTGAGACAGCCATGGCTCTGGGTCTTTTGGGAGTGCAGGCCAACAGACATGGATGCAGGACAGTTCTGCCAGTGCCTGAATCTAAGCAATGGAATAAGCTCATCTCTGATTTCAAGCTTTAGGGAGAAACCAAGGATGAGTCCGGAGGCATCCTGTTTGGGAAGATGACTGTGGGAGTAGCCCCTACCCTTCTGTTATGATTTGAATTTTACACATCTCCTTAGCAGCAACACTAACAACCAAGAAAGCTGTTTTCGAGGAGAAGGGCAGTCATAAATCATTTGCTACTGATACAAAAATTCTCTCATTGGGTACATTGTGAGCCCTTGGTCTAATTGCATGGCCCAGAGGCATCTGCTGACTCAAGATCTCTGCTGTTCACCTCCTGTGTACCTGAGGACAGTAGAAAACACTGGAAAGGTTCCCCTGTAAGCAGGCAGGCAATTATGGGTATTTTAGCCTACCTGGACCTGAGGGAATCGATCTTGAATCTCATTCAGAGAAACTGGGGAGTTACTTCCTTATTCATAAAGAAAGCCTATGGGAACCATGCCTCTTACTACCACATGCTTTCTTCAGGAAAACTCTCCCATGCCTTTCCCAAGAGCTGCAGGAGTGAGTGCCAGTGTCAGGCTGGAGCTGACAGCAGGGCCTGGTGACTCACCTGCCAGCCTGGAAGACTGATGCCCTGAGAGAAGAGGGATCTCTCTGCCCCCGTTGCTCCATACAAAGCAGTGACGGCCTCTGTCATCACCAGTGTGATGAGGGCTGTGCTGGGGCTGCTTTAGTGCTCCTGGCTCCCAGGCATGCCATGCTGAGCCGAACCTCTCCCAGGCATGAGAGACAAAAACAGATCCTTCTGGCCTGCCCCCTGTATTTCTCAAGAGAGAGTAGTGAGAGGGAGGAAATATAAAGATGTTACACAAGGATTTCCTGAAATTAATTGCTGAAGAGACATGACACATCTGAGAGCCTTGTGAAGTCCCTACAACCTCCTTTTGGTTCTCAGGCCCTCTAAACACAGTGTAATTCTTCCACCATATGGGAAAATAGGGGTCTTCTTTTTTTTTTTAATCTCTACTGTAGTAAGACTTTACTCTGTCACTAATGCAAGGTTCTTGACTTCTAGAAATTGATGTCATTCATATTACATGCAGATAGGCCAAACTGAGTCAACAAGTAATTACAATTTATAGTTTAAAAAAAAATAAATAGCCGGAGCCTGTGCTTCAAGGAAGGAGCAGGCTAAAACAGTTGTTTTAGCTAAAACGCTGCTCCCAGAGAAGGGCAATCCAGCTGTCCCTCCAAACACCATATAGGTGTGAGTTCAGTGGGGGAGTTACTCTGGCTGCAGCCAGTCAGCAGCTGAACAAGTGAGTCACTGTTACGCTTTCCCAAGTACAGTCACATTAAGGTGTTATTACTCAAACACCTTTTATTGAAAGCAAGTCATAATTTGGAATTAGTGACAGACACATCAGTTCTAATTCATTCACAGAAACTTAACCATGGGAAAGGCTATCGGAGTGGCTGGATTGTCTCTAACGTTTGGAAAATTCCCGTTTGCCCATTCTTTTTATTGCCAGGCAGATGCATTGGGATTTTAACCGCTAGCACATTCCTTTACTTGCTAATGAAAAATCCTTCAGAAAAATCTTCCATGAAAAGTAATCTGACCTGCATCTGCCATCTATTGCGATGTTGCTGCTTGGCCTTGCAGTTCTGCTTGGAGGGCAGTACATGTGGTATGTCCTTCCTTGCTCAGGCACCGTCACAGTCCTGTGAACTCCTTGTCTGCTACCACCTCCACCCTGTTTTGCAGTGACTGGACCTGGAAAGCTCTTCAGCACTGGTGAGGTCCCAGCTGCACAAGCCCATGGGTACAGCTCTGCACAAGTGGCCAGGCATAAAGCAACATTAATGGCATATATTCCCATAACCTGTTGGATGGCATTAATCCCCGTGTCTGTACCCTCTCTGGCTGTTACAGTCTGTGCTCCAGGAGCAGTTAACTCACAAGCTCTGTGTTAAATCACTGCAGCAGCGCAGCACGTGCTGCTCCAACCACAGACACCTCTGAGAGGGAACTGGTGCTATGCGTGAGAAGATGTCAGAAGCAGCTCAGAGGCAGCACTGTGCACTGCACTGTGGCACGTACTGGTGGGGCAAAGTGGGCTGGTGCTGCTGTCCCCTCCTCAGCCTAAACTGCCTTTCACAGGGCCTTGGAAAAAGTACAGCAGTGAGCAGCATCACTGTCCTAAGCGCACCTTACGGCACAGCAGTTTGTAAGTGATGACTTACGTTGGGTGTTTTTTTACTATTACCCATTTTACGTTGCAAAGAACAGTAGTGGGTTAGGTCTGGATTAAAAACATTCAATCTATACTGGTGAAACTTCAACTCACGCCTTCATAAATACTACTTCGCACAGCACCTGTGCAGATTTGGCACACAACCCATCAGTCCATCTAACAAGGGCAGCCTGAGAGCACTGAAGCAACTTCCTTCCCCCAAGAGTGGTGTCAGGGCTGGGAGAGGTGTCCCTCCCCTCCCAGGACTATAACAGACACGTGTGGCTGAGATCAGACTCATCTGAGTGACCTGGGCACATGCACAGCAAACATTTTAGCTGAGACTGGAACCCCTCGTGTCCTGTTCTCCAGAGCTGCCAGAAAGCACCGCCACTAAGAGGGTTTAAGCTGCCCAGGTCTAGCACCCATGTCCTCCACCTGAACAGCGGCGTGTCAGGTTTACTAAACCATTCTGAAGTTCTCTAGGAACGGCTACCTCAGCCTTCAGACAAAAAGCTCTTCTAGTAGATGCCAACTGGGACAAAGCCCAAATGAGCAAGTTTGATCTGTGCAAGAGAATAACTGGAAATTCCCAAATTAATGTTCATCCCCACACAAAGTTGGCTTCTTGCAAGGCAACTAAGCTGACATTTCCACTGCTTTCTATTTTAATTTGTGCTGTGCATGGGGACTCAGCCTGGAGCCTGTGCCACCCTGACACCCCGAACGCCAGGAGAAACAAACCGCATCCACATGCTAATCATCGGTTATGCATCAATCAGGATATCACTTTTATTAACTGGATTTTCCATTTCTGTCGCACACCATGAATGTTTATACAGTGAAAAAGCCAAACATTGCTGGAAGCAATAAGATCAGATGATATTTCTGTACCCTCTTAACA